TCGTGTTGCGACCAATTTGAGTTGCAACCAGAGTCACGGAACGGATTAAATTCGTAACTCGAGGTTCCACTGTATACATTTAAAGCAATGCTCTAGGATTGAAGAAAAGGCTAGTGGTGATGACCAGAGAAAGCCATCAGGGCTTTCCACCTGTGCAATGAAACCAGAAGCCCAATGGCCCTTTCTGCTCAGATACATTTCATATCAACCCCTAGGTACCTCCTGCCTCCATATGCTTAAATATATGGAAGTGGGCCCTTAAGACTGGCAAAAATAGATGCTCAGCTGTCCTACTTACAGAAATAGAAAGCATTCATTCCATGCCTACCTGAGCTACACCATACCTGTTGCAAATAACTTTGTCGAGCTTCCGGTTCCTGGTGTTTTATCAGCTCTTCAAAGAAGTCCATTTTCTCAGAAGCTTCTTCCGTTCCTCTACAGGAGAGAGACTAAGATGAGTAAGACCATTCCCAGGTCCAGTGAGAAGGATCATAGTTGCCATGAAGGTAACATCTCAGCTTCATCATCGTCAACTTTAACTTTTGTGGATTTTGTTATATCCGAGGGAAATATACCTTCTGCACATCAAAGTTAAAAAACCCCTACAGGTCAGCCCCTTTTGGAAATCCCCCGTCCCATCCCACCATCCAATCCTGAAGATGCCAACCTGGTTTTGAAGGGCTACGTGCAGAGTTTAAGCATAAATTCATCATCTTCTAGCTGAACTGGTTTTGGGATTCTTCAAAGGTTCTTCAAGAGGGAGATCCAACCCCACCGTCATCCCGTTTTCGTAAATAAGAAAAGGATGGTGACCGATGGCCCTGATCTTGCCATTCAAGAACAGCGGCGGCTTCTTGCAAGGCACCATTTACCTGTCGCAGAAAAGATATTCCTGAGACTTGCGCAGTTCCCGACTGGTCTGCACATGAAAGCCCATAAAAAATTCTTCCATTTCGCCTTGGCCTCCTGCACGGATGAACTCCAGAAACTGGTTGTAGAGGTCTTCCCATCTCCTCTCCACCGGAAATTCTTCCTGACCCAACTGGCTGGACAAGGAGAGCACACAGATCACAGGCTGGGCCTTGCAGTTCACACATGCAACCTCCATCCCTTGAGGGCTATCAAATCATGGGTGAATCCAAGTTGGTGCCTATCTAACACCACACGCATAATGTTCTATCAACCCGGGCAATGCGGGTCTGCTCACCTTGATTATATTAAACCATATTTTCCCCCAAGGAACCAGAGTCAAACAGTCTCAGCAGAACAATTCTGTAAAGTGGACTAAGCTGAGAGAATCCTGGGCCATGAAGGGGTGTCTGAGGATCTGGCCAAAAATCAAGATGATGGCCATGCTGGTGCAATTGAATCACCGGCTGTTTTTTATGCACGACGCTTCCAGGGCACTGTCATGACCACCATCTTTTGACCCTACCCAGAGGACACCCCTGGGTCCATATCTCCCAGTGAGCATCATGGCTGAGCAGGGTCCTTGAATCCTGGTCTAATTATCTAACCATTGCCCCCATTCACTCTCTCCTCCAGATGACAGACCCTGTGATGGAATGGAATTATGAAGGCCAGGCTCAGAGAGATAAACATTTTCTTAGCTCC